AATAGCTAGCTGATATTGACGACAAACGAAATACAAAATTAAGTTATTGTTTTTATTATTTTCGTTAAAATACAGCTTAATTATCTTAAAATACAGCTAATGTATTGTAATATATTCTACATTTTTTAAAAATGTAAAAACAATTTATCAACGCTTAATCATTTTATCGACCATTTGCCTTCCAAGTTTTATAAAAATAAACTAATACAATTGGACCGATAAACAATTTGAAATATAAAAATTAAACGATTCATCAAATTCAATTAAAATACCTCTAGAAATTAAAATTATTTATAATTTTCACAGCGCCTTGTCTGCTATTAATTAAACGACGGTAAAACGCTTATTGATTGTCACGAAGATCCAGCGATAAGATATCAGAACAAAAGAGGATAAGCACGAAAAATATTCTATTAACCTACCCATCTATGAACATAATAAATTCCTTTTTTCTCCCATTCACGTCTGACTTCTCATCACGGGACCGTAAGTGTGAGCGGATATGCTCGCACGCGTGTTTGAACTATGCGCATATTGAATGCGCTGAAGTGTGGTGTCTCAACATCTTATCGGTGAAAGAGAAGAATCGTCGTTTCGTTTTACCAGTCGACTGATTTTTCGACTACCACTAAGGCATTCCCAAACCCTCCTGTCGTCTGCATTCCAGACGCTGCTGCATTATTTAGCTTTTGAAAAATGTTTGATAAGCAATACGTCGCTTTATAACTTATGTCTTCTCAACGTTCGTAACGTATAGAGATATTTTAGAAATAGAAAAGCCGTACCTCTAATTTTCAAGCACTGTTTATATATGTGAGTGCGCGCGCACTATAAGTGGCACGTCGTATCGAGTAGACACAGTTCAGCAAGCATACCCAGCCAGGCCCAGGACACCGACATTATCAATAACCTTAAATTCTAATATATCTCATATTCATTTATATCCCTCCTGCCTTTACGTCTGTCTATAATTCGTCGATTTTTAATATAAAAATGTTTTATTCCATAAAAGCTGAAAGTCCGATGTCGATAATATACATAATATATTAATTAAATAATTAATATATTTCACATTACCGTATCGTTTCTTTAAATATATAATTGCTGATTAAATAGTTATTTTTCATTTTAGTATTATATGTCGTGCACGATAATTGTAGTAAAAACTAGGTATTTTTTATAAAATATGAATTGCATAAAAAAAAAAAGTACATAATTCTTTCAATTATGAAAAGAAAAGAAGATTCTTAATCATCGAGAATGAAAGATAAAAAAAATTAAAGGATTGCAGAAACTCTTATAACTGTCCGAATTATCTGTTATCTCATTTTTCTAAATAGACATAAGAATATTTATTCTCGAATATTCTTTGAAAAACGTTAATTATTAATTATCAATACGAGTTAAATAATATTTGAATGTGAAAATGTAATTCAAAGCATTATAATTTCATTAATAAAAAAAAATATATATCGATTGTAATACTATGAAATACTCTCTTCAAAGTAGCCGTAATTATATAAATAGTCCTAAAATAAAAATAAGCCTTCTTTGGACAACAATTTAAGTATAAAGTTAAGAATTTTAAAGGTTTTCGAAATCATTGATAATTAAAATCTAAGTATTTTTATATTAATTAAAGTAATTTTATATTAATTATTTTTATACAATCTATTTTTATTATATTAGCTGATGAATTAACGCATAATCCTTATTAATATATAATTTATAAAAGCTAATTGATTTTTAATTCGGCATCAAAATTCCATCGATCCTTCTTCATTTTATTATTAAAATAATTTACAGATACGATTTAGATATTCTATTTGTTACGACCTTGAAAAGAGGAGGCAGAGATATAGTATATTACTGCAAAATTTATTAAGCATATTCATAATTGACAATAAGAGTTAAAAAAAATTTATAAAAACAATTTTATTTGTGAATATAAATAAATAAATAACTTTAAATATAAAAAATACATTGTGTATGACCTCATAATATTTGTAATGTATTGTATTTAATGTGTGTAAGCGCGTAGTATGTGAGTGAAGGCATATATGTACGCGCTTATTTGTCTACCTTTATAATTTTCTTCGATAAAAGTTTTTCTTTTCTTAAAATTGTCGTCTCGGTTTGAATATTTTCATCATTGTATTTCAGTGCCCTTCAATATTGCTTTTAATTTAACGACAAAAAATAAATATCATTAGCTAAATAAAAACCGATATTATATTTGTATTGGTGATATTTTCTTACTTTCTGACTTTCTTCAATATTTAAATGTAATGATAATTTAACATTTAAAATATTTCGAAAATATGCGACTATTAATAATAGAAGAATTTCACATGAACGAATAAGGTGAACGAATTATATGTAAATGAAGAAAATAACCGAGTTAATTACGTTGACATTCTTTAATGAGGTTTAATAAAATAAAAAGTATTAAATTCCTATAATTAAAGACTAATAAAATTGGTGATTCTATATTCTTCGGTCGAAATAGAGCAGAATCGATATGAAACAAAGTAAAGGAAAGCAATGTAAAGAGAAGAAAAATGAAGAGTAGCACGAGTAAGTTGAAGCTAAGCGAAAACAAAGTACAAAAGAAGACTTGAAGCAATCTCCCGCGCTTCATTTACTAACTTATTTCTCCCTTCACCGCACCCTCGCCCAGCCCCCACCGCCGCCCCACAAGATCACGACTGTCTCTCTTTCGCTCGTCCCTTTCTCACCGATGGTTCATCCTGATTTGTCGCCTCATAAAATGTAAAACCTCACTTTGTACTCGCGCATGCTTTTGAATCGTGTGCATGTGCTGCTGCATACGTGTATCTGGTTTGTTTATTCGCATGTGTGTTAGGTGTTCGTCGAAGCACACCGAACGAGAATCACAGTTTCCGGTGCCTCGACGAGTGCTTTAGAAATGAGTCAACCGACTTCTCCTTCGATGGTTCTTTCCTTTGCACAAGCGAAAGCCAGTATTGCGTATGGGCGCATACGTGTCCATGTGAACATACCAATCGAGCCTAGCGTGTAAGCATGTGTTGAGAATGTCAGAGTGAATTCTTCGAAGATGACGAGCACGCGGACGTTCGAGGATCATGAAAAATTTCTCAGATGCAGAGCTCGCCCGCGCAGTTATACGACGAGTCTTTGAAACGGAGGAGATGGAGAGACGAGTGAAAAAATATTTCACTGCATTGCCGCCGAGGAGAGTGAGAATTTTACGACTATACGTGGTGCGAGGTGAAAAAGCCTTCGTTTCTTTTATTTTTAAATTTCATATTTTAATCTTGGATAAAAAAAAACGCGTCATTTTTATTTTTCATTTCAATTTTTTTTCCCCCTCTCGTTAATTAAGCACATAATGAATCTATTATAACTAAATAAACCAATTATAATCCTATTATTGCATTATATTTCATAACTTATTTTTGTTTTTGTTTTGTCGAATTATTTATAGAAACTTATCTTACATCTACACAATAATTTAATCATCAGTATTTTGCTATTAAAATAATGCCAATTATGTATTGTTTAATTATGATTTAGTCAAAATTTTTGCAAGATCCATACAAATAAATATAATGATTTTTTTTTCTTTTTTTTTTAATTAATTAAACTAAGATTATTTACGTTAATTTATATAATATATATATTCAAAAAGCATACGAGTTAATTAATTCGTTATACAACAATAATTTTTTAAATTCTTGAATTAATCATTATATCTAGCTGCTTTGTACCTTGATATCTGACTAAACTATGTTACGTTACAATTTTTATTACGAATCAGCGAATCTGACAAATTTAAATATTAATAATGTTAATATTTCGAAAGCTATAATGCAGATATAAATGAAGGAAAAAAAAAATTAAACCATATTAAACCAAGATATGTTATAGTAAATGTTAAATTGCTTTTATAATATTACTTTCATTAGCTATTGTTGTTGACTTCCCCCAACATATAATCTCATTTAAAATGCAATACAAAATTCGATATAATTTTATTAGTTTTTAACAAATAGGAATAATTTAATAGTTAATTATAAATTTTATAACTAATTTTCAGGCAAATATTTATAAGAGTTTCTTCCAACATTTACAGTATAAGATTTTTTTTTTAAATTTATTTTACAAATTTTAATTACCAAAGCTTGAAGCGTAAAACAAATGATCTTTTAAAAACTTTTAACATTGAAATGAATTTTGAAAGATCTCAAATTTTTTTTTTTGAACATTTTTATCACGATTTTTTAATCAAACATAATTAATTGCTGAATAAATAACGTCTTTCTAATGATCTTCATTAAATTTATCCTATTACTTTAATAAATATTTGCATTATAAAATTGATTATAAATTAGTATCTAATAAGCATTATTTGAACATATTAAAATATTAAATATGAAATATTAGTTCATAGCAGAATCTAATTCAGAAACTTATATAATTGCGACTTATATAATTCTTTAATAAATGTAGGAAATTTAATCACTTAATAATCTAATTATTCAATCAGCACTTATTACTTAAAATTTATAATTTTAATGCTTAAAAACTTTAACAAAAATTCCTCCAACTTAAACAACGGATGTATTTTAATATTTAAAGAATAATGAGATAATAATAAAATAACGTTTTTAATCTTTTTTACATTATGTAAACTCTTTCCAATTATTAAAGATTAATTTCCTCTGTACAGAAATATAATTGTTAACTACTTACTAAGTTTCCTCCTAGATGGATATAAAGGTTAGAAACTTGCGATTATTTTCATATTTTTTCTACAAAACTATAAAGCTAAATAATCAAATAACTAGTTAATCTATAACATACTCAATTATATCTACTCTACTAAATAAAAATATAAAAAAGTTATATAAAAAATAAAGTGACCAGATTGACTTAATTTATCGAAGAAAAGTTACGTCTAGTTAATAATGAAGCGAAACTTACTTCCTAAAAATTGAGTAATCTTCGTCACTAACCTCAATTTGTAGACAGAAAAACATTTTCTAAAATAAATATGAAAACATTCAGTAAGGATGTTAGAGAAGTCGATGATAATGATTTTTAAAATTCGTATTTTATTTTTAAAATAATATACATTCATATTTACCTCGCTGTTTCCATCGTAATAAACAAGATGTCGTCGAGTCAAGACGAACCAGCGTTGCTTATAATTAATAGGTGTAAAGCGTTTTTTATTTTGCGAACGCTTTACCATAAAACCTTGCCTCACAATGTCATTTTCTTGGGGTTCGAGTTTTCCATCCTTCCCTGCCATCCCTTGCATAAATGTCGGAGTCCAGACTGAAAATAAATTTTTTGACATAGCTTTATCTACACGGCGTATTATTACAATAAAAATTATACTTTGTGGAGTAATTGTTGACAATATCTTACGAAATAACATGAAACAGCAGTGAAATATAATTAATTACATCTCTAATTCGACCATTTACACAGTGATTGAAATATTATAAATGTATGTAAGGATTCATATTTTTTAATTTTTTTTTCGTAAAATATTCCCAGGAAATAAAATTTATATTCATTAGCAGGATTATCTGTAATTTAAATACAATTTGCATCTCTTATAAATTATTAATTTCTAATGGGCATATTAATATTTAAAGATAGCTTCTTTAAATTGCTTTTGGACGATTTTATTTTTCATACTTATTACTTTAAATTTTATATTGTACAAATTTTTGTTAAATATCCTCGAGCTTTTTTATTATTTTATTTATATTTATACATACGTGTATGTATGAGTAAGGTAAAGAATTCAAAAGTAATGCAAAAGTTAATGCTCAATAATTAATTATTAATACTGCTAGCATATAATAAATTACGTAAGTTTGAAATGTGCATTGCCGGAGGGATATAAATATAAGTCCTTTTATGTTTTTAAGATTATAAACCTTCGTAGCATTATATATATATATATATATATATATATATATATATATATATATATATATATATATATACTTTGGCTTAAAGTACGAACAAAAATATATTATATCGATATGATCTTTTAATCTTCTAATTGATCAAGTTGATTTAATTTCTTATTTTATTCCGTAACTTACAGAACGATAAATGATAATAAAAAGTTTATATTGAAAAATTAATTTTGAAAAAAAAACAAAAATGTTTAATTTTAATATTATGCAATTGTTAACATTATAAAATAATTAATTTTTTTTTTTTTTTATAATAAATTCAAAATGCAGCATTATCAAAATTAATTTAAGATTTATTTATCATCTCACTTTTAATGAATAAATTTATTCAACATATTAATAGACCCTATAGACTGTTGTTTTATATCAATTATTTGTTTAAAAATCAAAACATTTTGTATATAAAAAATCTAAAATATCCTTAGTTCGTTACAAAATTTTAATAAGTCTATTATTACTACTACGACTAACTACTTACTACTACCAACTATTATTAATTTTTTACAATTTAAATCAGGAAAATTGTTGATCATAATGATATATCACGATCCTTTATAATAATTTACATCAATTCAATAAAAATTTATTTTAAATTATAACTTTATTTGGTTAAATCTTACAAAAATAAATCACCTATCTAGTCGAACTTCCTGCAAACAAAGTCTATCTTAACTAATTATTATAATACAAAGAGTTATTTCCGGGAAATCTCAGTTTTGATGATGATAGCTTAGCTCAACGAGATGGCAAAAACAGGAAAACTATCTCTTTACTCTCTTCCTCACCTCTCTATCTCTGTGATTTACTTTCATTAAAAAAAAAAAAGAAAAAAGACGACAGTGTATAAATCATTGGTACAAAAAAGGTTCCCTTTCTCTACCGACAACTCCATTTACCAAAGTAAGTTCATGCAGCGACGATTAGAAACAGCAAGTGCGAGCCAAGGAGAAAGAATAAAATGCAACAAGTGTAGCCTTTCAATATCCAGTGCAAAACGGCTGGTCGGAGCTGTAAAATAATTCAGATCTAGCTCGTGCACCGTGGAATGGCATTTACGGAAAGTAAAAGGATTGGAAAACCGAGCCTCGTGTGCATACACATACATTATAAATACGTATAACGTATGTGCGCGCGCGTGTGCATACATATATATATATATATATATATATATATATATAATATATAGGGAGATACACCTACTATACGATGCATCCATGTAAAATGGTCGACACGCGAGAAAAGAAAAGAGAATATGAGAGAGAAAAAGACAGAAGCAGAATACTCGAAAACAATGACCAATGCCCTTGAAAAAGCCTGAATAACACACAAGCACGCATTTTTACTATGATCTGTCCATGTGAGAAAAGAACTCTCTTTTTTTTTCTTCTCACGAAATACAAGGGCGAGAATAATAAGTAAATTATAAATAAAACAAAGTACGGTGGTACATACATGGCGTAAGTGTGGTGCGGCCGTTAATACGAAAAGGAAGAAAACGGAAATGAGCGAAATTGCTATCTTTTGCGCGATGCACTTAAGTGTTATCTTTAGAATTCGTTTATAAAGTGCACGTACGCTCACGTGTTGTAAATTTAAAGAATTTTTTCTCTTCTCTTTTTCAATCGGATAAAACTATTTTAAAAGTATTATTTTGAGAGATAATACAGCCCTGACAAGTGTTTCGCGTTGTTTGTAATATACGCGATTGTAACGTATCATTACGTACGTAATTATTCTTAAAACATGCTACAATTATTTATATTGAAAAAGTTAATTTTCATTCTTTTATTATTCCGCGGATTTTAAAAAATTATGCACCAGAAAGTGGTGATGTAATTTTAATGAAAATAATAACAAAACACTTCTTAAATACGTATAAATGTTGATACGTTAAGAATTTTGCAAATGATTATAATAATAGTCCATCTCCTTAGAATGTAAGAATAAGTATTTACAATTCTCCACAAAATTTCAGTTTCGCCTTTGAAATGAAAGATGACAGTTCAAGAACATAGAAGTGCTGAGGAAGTCATTGTATAACACAACAAATTTAAACTACTTTCCCTGGAATTATATTTCACTGTGTCTCTCTATGTATATGCAGTGGCGATACCTCGAAAGACACAAAAAAAAAAAAAAAAAAAAAAAAAAAAAAAAATTTTTTAATAATACCGTGAAATCCTTAAATAAGTAAATTTATGTATAAATACTGCGTGCGCGCGCGCGTGTGTGTATGTAAACTTAGAAATCTATAAAAGTGAAAAGAAATTACCTTACCTCAATTTTTGGATCCACTCTTAACAGAAAAATGACCAATTTAATATAATTAATATTTGCTCGTGTACTTTTCGTTACATAAAAATTTATTTCATAAAATCACTTCCTGCAGTATTATTTTTACGTGTATATTTATTGGTAAAAAAAAAAAAAAAAAGCCAGGTTTCCTCCACGTTTATTAATTGTACGTTAGAAAGGTAAAAACGTTAAAAAAGAAATATTATTAATTTACATAATCTTACCTACGTGACGTTCAAAAGAGCCTTTTCCCCCCTGATACCGCCACATGGCAACTGCATTATAAATAATGAAAAAAAATCTCTTTAAATACATCGGATACTTCTTGGTTATCGGCAACGAATTCGCGGCTACATCACGCTTCTCGGGTCAACGTATTCCCTTCGCTCCAACGACTACATCACAATCATAGGTGAAGTAATTTCTATATTTTTACAAAACCGAAAAAAAAAACAAACGAAAATGTAAAGATAAAAAGAAGAGATCCCGTTATAAACTCGTGCTTGTGGAACACCTACACGAAAGTGCGAGAGACACGCACACGCGCGCGCGCGATGCGAGCCTACTCTACTCTATACGTGAATGCCGTGTAGATAGAACGTATGACCAGCCCGGCCCTAGCACTAGCCATACCTAGTGTGCGAAAAACCGAATAAAAAGTATAAGGTACAGGCTACGGTGAATGTCGCTACTTGTGATAAAACGGAGAAGAAAAAAGAAAGAAGCACGTCATAGTCCTCTGGACGAGCTCTCGGTACTACTACTCACCATGCACGAGACGAATGATTCTTCGTGAGAGGCGAATAAAGGACAAGTGCGCGCCCGGCGACAACTGCCCTTCTTCACGTGGACGTGGACATGGACGTAGACGTGTAGAAAGCTAAGGGCGAGGGCAACAGGGACAGAGACATCAACGATGAGAATGGCGACGACGACGACGACGACAAGGACGACAACGACAACGACGATGATGATGGCGTAGACGATGACGATAGCGACGGTGACAGCGACGACGACGGCAATGGTGACAACGCCGACGAAGACGACGACGACGACGGCAATGGTGACAACGCCGACGAAGACGACGACGACGACGGCAATGGTGACAACGCCGACGAAGACGACGACGACGACGGCAATGGTGACAACGCCGACGAAGACGACGACGACGACGGCAATGGTGACAACGCCGACGAAGACGACGACGACGACGGCAATGGTGACAACGCCGACGAAGACGACGACGACGACGGCAATGGTGACAACGCCGACGAAGACGACGACGACGACGGCAATGGTGACAACGCCGACGAAGACGACGACGACGACGGCAATGGTGACAACGCCGACGAAGACGACGACGACGACGGCAATGGTGACAACGCCGACGAAGACGACGACGACGACGGCAATGGTGACAACGCCGACGAAGACGACGACGACGACGGCAATGGTGACAACGCCGACGAAGACGACGACGACGACGGCAATGGTGACAACGCCGACGAAGACGACGACGACGACGGCAATGGTGACAACGCCGACGAAGACGACGACGACGACGGCAATGGTGACAACGCCGACGAAGACGACGACGAAGACGACGACGACGACGACGACGACGACGACGACGGCGGCGGCGGCGACGACGACGACGACGACGACGACGACGATAGTCGCCACGCCAACAGCATTACCGGCGCTTTAGTCGACCTGTCAGAGCAACAGCTTAAAGCGATCTCGCGTTCTCGCTGTCGCTGGACCGCTTCCATGCCCCGGCACAAAGAGAAGCCGCTCCGCGGTCCCGCGACTTTCCCTCAACGGAGGTGTCTCGGTGCGTCGTCGCCCCGCCACTCCGCCCTTCACTTATCTCGATTCTCGCTTCTCAGCTCGCGCCTTATCTTCGGCCCCTATCTCCGCTTCGGCAATTATTTTCCACCAACCCTCGGCTGGACCCTCGCTCGCACGGCTGCGGCCGCGCGCTCGCAACGCGCACACGCACGGGCCTAGAGGCGCGCGCGCCAAAAGCGGGAAACTCGTCGCCGTCGGCGCATGTCCCGTACACGCCGCCGTCGTCGCCGAGGTCGAGCCAAACCGGAGCCGCGAGAGAAGGGACGAACTGGCCTCGCGCGCTCGCCAGCCGCACAACAACGACGACGGCACGCACGCGCTGCGCGGCTTCGCAGCGGCGCACCGCGCGCGCATACGCACACGCACACATGCAGAGCCCCCCCCCCTCCCAGTCGTGGAGTGGAACAACAGAATAGAGAAAGAAGGGAGGAAGGATAAGTGGCCGCGCGCGCCTCTTTGCCTGTGTGTGTCGGCGGTTGTCGTCGTCGCCGTCGTCGTCGTCGTCGTCGCCGCCACCGCCACCGCCGCCGCCACCGCCGTCGCCGCAGCCGCAGCCGCAGCCGCCGCCGCCGCCGCCGCCGCCTCGGCCGTCGCTTAGTCGTAGTTACTCAACTCCATTTACTCGTTTTATCCCGATGAGAGGAGCGGTGTTGCACGATTTAACAACGTCACGACGTCTCTCGATGTAGTAGGCCTCCTCGTTCATATTATAGTGTTCCACGATACTTAATAATATCATGTATTCGAGCCTGCTTATTTATTTAGTCGAGCGACGCCTCGTCAATATAATGACGATAGATGAGTAGCGAGGAAAGATAGAGAGGACGAGACAATTCTTCTCACTTTGTTTACCAGTATGATTTCGTAGACTTTATTATTTCTTTAAAGTATGTTAAATTGGCTTTATGTTGGTTGCCGCTATTCCCGTACTACCAGTATTATTTAAAGATGAAGTAGCTAATTACTTGGTAATTTCCGTTTATGCACAAACACCCACACAAACACACACACACACACATATATATATATATATATATATATATGCCTGTGTGTATTACTTTTCATATTTGCCATAGATAACTTTTTATATAGGAACCAAAAAGTGTACATTTTTTCTTTCACTTTTTACTTCAAAATGTATATATATATATATATATATATATATATCACTTTTGTGAATAAATTATTGAAATTAGATTTGGCTAGAGAAAATGCGGACGAAAAACAACGATTGTACTTGGTTGTAAAGATGATCGGTGAATTTTCATTTATTATTCACTGTCAATTATCGAATCGGTATGAAATGAAGGAATAATTCATTTTTATGATTAATACAATAATATTTCAGTCGTAAAATAATGGTCGAAACATTAATTTAACAAATTTTTATTTTATTGTATTATAGAAGTAATAGATACAAATATTGTAATTTTTATTTAAAAAAAAAAAAAAAAAAAAAATTCCTGAACAAAGACACGAATCTTGGCAACACTGTTGACAATATAATAAAAGGATAAAAGAGAAGGAGTAGATAAAGTTTTTACAAAATGGCGATACAAGTATGACGTTTGTTTTTCTTTTGTCGATTTCTCTAATGTTAGAAAATTAAAAGCAGTATTTCCAAAAGGTTTATCGAAAGTAAGTTATTGCGGAGAACATATTACAGTTCTGATACTTTTAATAAATTCATGACAAAACTTGTATAATGTTATCATATTTTCATAGTATCGGCTAACCTCAAAAAACAAAGTTTTACAATAAAAATCCTTTTATTTACACATATTAAGGCTTCAATAGTTGATTATAATATCAATTTACTGCCACATTATTTGTATTTGTTAAATTTAACTATTTAATATTTTTCAAGTGAAAGATTTTCAAAATTAAATTTCATTGTAAAATAAAAATGAATACTTTATAGATAAATAATATAGTTTTTAATTTTTTTAAAAAATCTATAGACAAGATTTATTTTATAATATGAAAAAACCAGTGTTTTTGTCCAGATTTTTAGTATTAAGCACAAACAAAAATAATTATTATAGCTAAATAATAGCTAGTCTTTTACTTTTTTTAAATGACTACTTTAAAAAAAAATATATTTGAATAATTATAATTTGATTATGCCTTTCAATAAAAAATAAAATATCTTGATCTTAATTTATTGTCAAAGATGATAAGATTTCAAATTAAGAAATAATGATTTGAATAGTTTGAAAATGAAAAATAAATTTTCTTTTAGTTTTTAATATTTACAATTTAAAAGCACATTTTAATATTCATTATATATTAATTAATGAGAAGTAGATATTTTTTATATGTATTAATAATAAAATAATTTATGAAAATTCAAATGTCCTTAATAAACTATTAATGTCTTGTATTTAATTTAAATAATTCGATGCAGTTCTATACTTCAAATGATTTTCACAATATGATAATAACTCCAATTTAAAAATATAATTGATGTAACTTTGAACTGCTATATTATGTTTCTTAATTAAAATTATATTTAATTAAATTTAAGAATTGTTTTAATTAATATATAGTTTAGAAAATGTATGCATTTTTCTTATATATAATATGTTTGTATAGTTTCACGATCTTCTTTATTCAAATTGAAAATTACATTTCTGTACTTATTTGACATTCTATTACAGCATTAGCATATATTTTAATATATATTTGCATTGTAATTTAATTTTATAAAGTTTGTTTAATTTAATATTCTAATAGCCACTATATTTTCAGATTAATTTAAAATGGCGTCCTCTGATGCAATTCAAGTAAGCTCACTGCCATTACCTCCTGTTCAGTATATAAATTTGTATACCGATGAGAATGTAAGACGGAATAGAACTCCAAGGCCACCACCACCTATTCATGACAATTATTCCATGTTTGGCAACATTTTTAATGCTGATGATACAATAATTAGGCCTCTCGAGGCACAAGGAATAAAAAGATTATATCCGCAACATTTTGATAGAAGGAGAGAGCTCAAGAAGCTTAATCATTCCCTTCTAGTGAATTTTTTAGATTTGATTGATTTATTAGTGCTCTGTCCTGATAGTCCAAGGAGAGCTGAAAAGGTTATTATTTAAAAAAAAAAAATTTTCTTTTACATTTCATTAACGATTTATATAAATTGAGATTACAGTTCCAAGTATAAATTGTTTTATATAGAAATGTTTACAATATTGCTTATACTCCTTTATAATGTAACATGCCTGATTATTTAGTTAATATTTGTTTGTTTACCTTAGGTCGAAGATTTAAGTTTATTATTTATTCATATACACCACTTATTAAATGAATTTAGACCACATCAAGCACGTGAAACACTCAGAGTAATGATGGAATTACAACGAAGACAACGAACTGAAACTGCACTTCGATTTCAAAAACATTTAGAGAAGGTTCGATTTTTTATTTTTAAATTATCAGACGTTTTAAATGAAAAACATCATACAGTTAATTTTTGAACTATAAATATTTTAAATTAATGAAAAACATATACATAAAATGAAAATAAAAAATAATAATAAATAAAATAATATATTTATAGATACAAATATTGAATTGTTATAAAATGACAATCTAAAAGTGTACTATTTACATTGACAAAAATTTATTTTAGGTTCAAGAAATCTTGCAAAATGCATTACAAATGTTGCCAGATACCTCGGATTTAGATTCTAAACTATCTATTAATATCGAAGGTATGGAAATAGACAGTGATTTAAGTGCAGAACAACATGCTGTTGATCCATGTAGTCAGAGTGATCGTATAATGTGCAAAGTTATCGATGACATGTTGTTATCGAATGGCTTATACTAAAGACTGATTTATTTAAGTATTTATTGTAATTTTACTTTTAAGATATTGAATTAAGAATGAGTATATTTTTGATGTCTATAAAATAGTAATACAATATGTCCATTAAAAAACTGTTTATTACCATAATAAGGGTATATCTACAAACTTACAGAAGTAGCATAACATTTTGAAATTCGATGTGACTAATGGAGAGGAAGGAAAAAGGGTTTTGAGAAAAACCATGAAGACTCACCTTAGCGATGATTATTGTGAATGCTCTATATTAGAAACAATTTGTATAATTTCTCTGCTCTAGGTTAATCTGAAATAGAATAAGACTAACATATGTTCCATCACGGCTCTGGAATAACTGATTAAATAGTTTTAATATTTACTGATTGGTTGAAATCTGAAAAAAAATCTAATATTATGCCCTTCTTTGAAAAGTTCCTCATCATTGTGGTATATACAGAAACTGCATCTAGAAAAAAATAATATTAAAATACAAACTATTTGCAACCAAAGAAATAACTAACCAAGTTAAATTTTATTATAATTATAAAAATCTTGAAAATAATTTAATTTCTTAAAAATAAGTATTTTATCAGGCTGTTCATTTCTTTGATCTTAAACATTTTAGTTTTAATATTTAAACAAAACTGCCATAAAAGTATTCAAACTGCATTACAGTACTGCATCTGTTAACACACTATTATTATATAAATTAAGAATTGAGGAGGTGTTTAAAGATTTTAGAGATAGGACAGGAATTTGGAGAAATACTACACATTTACAAGTGCCACAAGAAATTTTCGCTTGAATCGCTTGATTTAGAACAGAACATGCGATAATTTCATTTCTCCTATCTCATTCTTCTTCTTTTTTTTTTTTAGCTTTGATAGGATGCATACTGAATTTTAAATATAAATTTTGTTTTCTAATTCGGAGCATTTTTTCATTAAATTTTACACAAAGAATGAGTGACTCCTTTCACGCTTTCGCCGCGCGTTTTTCGAAAATTATAAAAATAAAGCATCTTGCAGTCAATCATTCAATTCTTAATAAATCTCGCAAAAAGTACGTGATACACCTGACTGTACTCTTTAAAATAACTTGCAACGTTTTTGTCTCACTAGACACAATGGAAAAGTCGATTATGTACTTAAAAGTAGATCACCTTTGTGACAGTAGTTTGCGAAATATATGACTACCATTGCTTATTTCACGCGAAGGCTAACTGATTAAAAATACAATTTCAAGTCCGAAACTTAAATAAACGTCACATAAGCCTTAATGATGATCGTTTATCAGTACAAATTCATTTTGAATATTCTATTATCTTCTTTTCTCATTATAAAAAAATGTTTATCTCCATCTCGTTAAAATTCAGCTCCGATGAAAAGTTGATATCTGTTTTGGTTAAAAACCCAAGATTTTTATTTAAATAAACTAGTATATATTTTTTCTCCAACTACTGCGTCCACGCGGTCTAAAACCACCTCGACCGCCAATTTTATTGTATCGATTTTGAAATCGTCCTCGGTTACCTATAAAAAAAAAAAAAAAAAAAAAAAAACCACTTACATTATTAATTATTTAGATTTAAAACGCACAACAATCTTATAAAATTAAAATTAAATAATATATATTTAAATAATCGCTAACTCCTATTAATGATACTTATAATTATTTAAATTATGTAACGCATATAGATAAATAATTACCATAATTTGATGAAATATTTGAACTATATTTTCCACTTGGAGGAGTATAGAGTTGTTTATTATTTTTTGAAATGTCTTCTTTCATTCGTTTATTTGAACTGTGTGTAGTGGCATTTCCATTACCAAAAGTGATAGGTGTATGTCGTTTTTGTCCTGTTGAAACTTTTTCATCCTATATGAAATAAAAGTTTGAAATTAATTTTATTACAATACATCTTGCATATAGGCAGCTAAACAAATATAATTTTTTGTACTACAACATTACAATTTTACATTAACATTTAAATATATACATTCATTATCTAACTTCTAGATATAATTTTAATAATTAAAATTCAATAACAGTTTTAATTTCTTGATTAAAAATTTTAATTATTAAATCATTTTATTCATATCATATGTAAAAAATTTCCATCTTAATCGTCATATAATATAAACAATTTTATACCAAGAATAAGAATGATTTTATTAAAGTCATATAATTAACAGTTATATAAGTACGATTAATTAAAATCATACAATTAAGTACAATTAACAATTTTGTTCAAATTAACATATATCATTAAAATTACGAAAAAATTTGTTTTTTTCATTAAATCTAAAATTAAAATATAGAATATTTAGAAACTATAAAAAAAAAGAATTAGAATAATATTTTAAATATTAGAATATAAAATTAATAACAATGATTGTATTATTTAAAAAATGCATAAAAAAGAACATGTGAAACGTAGGATTTATTATTATACCTTCTTTTGTTTTGTAATAATTGTTTTCCACGAAAGGTGAATAATGCTCTTGAAACTTGGCGGAGAATGAAATAAATCTTTAATAAGCGTATTAATATTATTTGTTGTTTTTAAAGCTATAACTTTTAATTGATTCTCTTCTGTTTTGAGTTCTTCTTCACTTTTGCCATTAATAGCTTCTCGTAATTTTTTTATATATCCTTGAATTCCACGTGCAAAGTATTGTAGTCGTAATCTGAATTCTTTTAGCTGTTCCGCATCTTTTATTAAAAACTCTGGCGTTTGTTTACATAATTTATGAAAAGCAAAAATTAAACATTCTACATGACTAAACTGAAGTTTCGGTACTTCAGTAACTTCTGTGTCCGGAGGAAGTGGCATAAATGTCTATAATAATAATAAATATCTCAATTTACATATTCTTAATCTATGTTTAGTATTATTTTATGTGCAATAATTATTAACTTACAATCAAAGCATTATACAACTGTTGAACTTTCTCTTCTGGCTTTTCTATTTTACCACAATATTCTGCTAATTCAGCGAGCAATTTAAGAAGTTCTAATTGTACATCTCTTCCATCCGGTGAAGTTATTAGAGATAAATGTGGTAAGACTTGCATTGAAATATATGAAACAAACTTTGAAGAATTTGCTTGAGACTGCAAAAGATAAATAGTACATTAATTAAAAATCAAAATAAATTTAATTATGCACTCTACTTACGCTGAAGAATGGAAGAGCATGTTTAATACATTGAATAAGCCTACTGCATTGTTCTAAATTTGTATATTTAAATGGCACAGAAAGTTCCGCTTGTTCGATTGCTATATCTACTAATTCTTGTTGTCCATGAACTGTCGATCCAAGTCTAGTCCAAGCAAGTATTTCCATAATACTATGAAATTCATCCGCTGTAACATCCTGCATACAAATTTTATATATTGCTTTTGAAAATACTTTCAAACAGAATATTTAAAAAGCAATTAATGTTTACCTGTAAAACTTTTTTGCATTCTGTTATTAGTACATCTTCTGGTTCTTTGGTTATAGTATCTCGACCTAAAGTTTTTAGTTTATTAGCTAAAAATTTGATACAACGCTCCCTTATACCATCGTCCCCATTAAGAATCTGAACAAAGAAACCGCTTATAGCTCCTAAAATTGTATAAATTGAATATCTTAGTATGTATATATTAAAAAAAATTTTTTTTTTTAACACGAATAAACGGAAGACAAACCTTTAGGGTCATTTTTAATTAATGTCATAATACTGTTATGAACAACATCTAATTCTGAAGAATCTTGAGCTAGTAAAAGTTGTGCTAATATATCAGCTATTCTTGCTGTATGCTCCTTACTATCTTTGCATAAAGTTGGTAAATCTTTTATTGCTTGCTTACGTATCTAGAGAATAAGAAAATAATAATAATAATTGTTAGTAATCATTCGACTAAACAATGCATTGAATTTTTCTAGAATTTTCTTCACTAATTAATATTAACATTGTCACCAATTATTATTAATAGAAGGTATAAAGTACAAACTTATAACATACTTCCAAACTAGTTTTACAATGATATGTCGACAATTATATTAAACAATTATATCATATAAAAGAAATTCTGATCTTTTCATTAAAATGAATAATACTGTTATGTGAAAAAATCTACTATCTCAGAAGTAAATTATTTAAAGAAAGTTTCTTTTAAATTAATTTTATTTCAATAAAAAGCTAATCCAATAATATATATACATAATTTATATAAATACACATTATAAACTTACAGACATATCTTCATCTTCGCAAAGATCTAAATGTGCATCTATAGCCTTATCTGCTAATTTGGGAAAGTGCTTGAAAAATCTAGCAATGAATTGAGAGGCTAATCTTTTTTCCTTTGGACTACCTTTAACAGCTTTTAAAATTTCTAGATACTCCTGCTCATGCTGAAATAAGTATTAATTGATTGATTGATATATATATATATATATATATATATATATATATATATACACATGTAGATTATATAATTTAAATATAATATAAATATTAATATGTATTTAACAACTGATTCGATGATTACGTAATATAAATATTGATAAATTAATCAACCTTACTAATTCAACTTTGTATCATTAAAGTAGAATAAAAAATTATATCGTTATTTTTTAAGTACTGCGTTAATATTTTATAGAAATTTTTAACAACTATCCACTTACGTATATACATGGGGGGCAAGCACTATCATAAATATACAAAAGATATCGTTCGGAGCAAATTTTAATTGTATTTACGCTACTACTTCCTATTAATTAATTTCATTTATATACTTATATTTTAATTTTATTCTTAACTATAAATTATTCAAATTTTAATAATTATAAGCATTTGCTTATTAGAATAATTGATTCATATTACACATATGTAATAGGAATAATTTAGATTCAAGTTATATTTGGACATTGTGAGCAAAAGCATACATTATAAAATGAATATCTCAAGCCATTTTTGTCGAATATATCAATTTAAAAATAGTCTATTACCACCACGTATTATCCTTAATCGCGCAAATAATCATTTTCAACAATAAAATAGGATATATTTTTATTTGTTATATAAATTAGAATAAAAAAAAAAAAAAAATTTAAGGTTATAAATCGAAAGGATATAAATGTTGGCTGAGACGGAACAACAACAAGACTTATAATATTCGATCGAATGCGATTAAATGGTTAGCTAAATAATCCCAATCGTACGCGGTGTATGAAAATTTACAATCCATCAATTACAAGCGCAACGCGATACATTTAATAAGTTAAAATTATTTCATGCCCAATTAGAGTCTCGGGCCGCTGTAATGCATAATTCTCTGCCTAATCAAATATAGTATTCGGGCATTCATTGCTCAACGGACTCACATAGGCGAAGTAGTGCTCGCGCGCGCGTATCGTATCGTAACGGATACGTAAATAAATGTAACCCCAACCGAGTCGACGAATTCGCGATGAACGAAGCGGAGAGGGAAAAGTTGCATCTTTCGTTCGTACATAATCCCAATTGCTCCTAATTAAAAGTGACCTTACCTCCGACAGCTTGTCTTTAGCGTCAGCGAGTACACCAAAATTTTTGTACAACTTCTCGATACTATCCGTACTCATTTTCACGGCAACTCAATAACGTTTCAACTTTCAGGATGACAACGAGCACGAGGACGAGAACGGAATCGCATAAATACCAATCGCGCGATAAGTGATAACGATATTTAATCTAAACGTACGATAAATATATGAAGTGATAAACCGGCTTGCACGCACAACCACGCTGAAACTTAACTAACGAAAGATGGCCGGAAAGGTACCAGCCGCCAGCATACGACTCCCTCCTCCGGAGCCGTGCATAGGCTTCCTACGCTTTACTGTCAGTCAATGCGTTGCCAACCTTTCGCTTTCATTTCTCTATTCTCTATAGGAGAAAATGCCGATAGGTCTTGCTTTTACGTAGATACGACGTAACGACCGACCAGCATTTATTATTCACTCCGCGCTATCAGTTTGTTGCACAATATACATTGTCAACGGATAATGGTAACGCTCGCCCTTACGAGACGTTTATTCATTTCCTTGTCGAGTTATGCTGCAGTGCATTTAAATTCACGGTTAGGGGCGCTATTTTAATCGCTTTTGTTTTAATCACTTGTTGTCGCACTGCCGCTTGCCATAATTATCCTTAAGCGTTAGGATAATTTTGGTAAATTAAGCAACCGATAGTGCTCGCCTACGTGATCACGCTGATCGTACGGCGGATTTTCTAAACCCTTAGCTTGTTTTTTTTTTTTTTTTTTTATTTTATTTTTATTATTATTTTTATAAAGGTTTTAAAAAGCTATTGCGTAATCATCGGATAATTATAATCCTAACTCTGGGGTAGAGATCGAGTGGCGGATTTATTAATAAGAACTAAATCATCGATCGGTGGTATTAATCACCCGGCAATTTGAATATTCCGCCGACGAGAATTTTTCGTTAGATTGGCTGTACTTGGAAGGAGTGAAGGAGTCGTCGGTATAATCCAATGATGCCAAAAGGGACCAATGAGAAAGGATTGACATTAATTTGTAGCCATGGTTCCCGTTCCGCGAATTGGACAATAAAAATTAAAATGGAGCCGATTTAGCGTGGAGTTTATAAATATTTGACGCGAGGCTAATGAGCGAACGAGAATTGGAGAGGCCAAGCGGAAATAAGTCGATTGATAAGGGCAAGGCTCGCGTAATGCGTAATGAGCCAGCGGCCAACCGGAAGTGACACATGTAAACAAGCCGTTTGACGGGAGCCATTTGGTGAAACGGAAGTGATGAGTTAGAAGGAAGTGGAAAGTATCTGAATTTATCGGGGACAGCCTCGAGTCCGTCCAAAGTTCCAGCAATAAGTTGAGTAAGCACGCCTTCCTGCCGGGTCGGTCTCCATTGCGCCATTTTGTTTGTTTCTTCGGAAAAGCGAGCGAGTGGCGCAGCTTTGGGTAGGAAAATTTTTTCAAAACCGCTTTACCATCGCGAGACGAGGAGCGACGGTTACGTTGGAGTTACGTTATTCTTGAGGCGATTAAACGTAATTGAGCGTTAAGGCATCCATAATGTCTCATAGTGGCGGAGGAGGTAGAAACGAATGCAGAATTTATGTCGGAAATTTGCCGCCCGATATTCGCACCAAAGACATCCAAGACTTATTCTATAAGTTTGGCAAAGTTACGTTTGTCGATCTAAAGAATCGTAGGGGTCCGCCTTTTGCATTTGTCGAATTCGATGATCCTAGGTTTGTTCTATTTTAATAATCCCTTATTAAATTATAATTTGATAATTAATCATTCATGCTAATAATAGTACACGTTTAAATTTTAATTATGCAAATTGCCTCGAACGTAAGGCCGATAACACAAGCAAGTAAGAAGTAAAGTGTTTTGAAATGATGAAATTACGTTTATTACTGTTTGTAATGTATCATATATTCATGACTCTGGTTAGAAAATAAAATTGAAAACGCAAAATTTATTATCATCGTTAATTTCTATTCATACTTATTTAATCCTACTGATCATTGTCGTTATTAACATTTTGTTTATTTTCAACTAAAATATTCTAACCAGGGTAATGGTCATTTCTGCAAAACTGTATATATTTGTTGTGTCGATGTAGAGATGCAGAAGATGCCGTTCACGCGAGAGATGGGTATGATTATGACGGATACAGATTAAGAGTTGAATTTCCTCGCGGTGGCGGACCAAGTAGTAATTTCCGTGGCGGCAGGGGAGCGGGTGACAGCAGCAGAGGAAGAGGCGACATGGGTAATTCGAGAGGTAGAGGACCTCCTGCTAGAAGATCCCAATACAGAGTACTGGTTACGGGTTTACCACCTTCTGGCAGTTGGCAAGATTTGAAGGATCATATGAGGGAGGCCGGAGATGTCTGCTTCGCGGATGTCTATAAGGATGGAACTGGCGTCGTTGAGTTCCTGCGTTACGAAGATATGAAGTACGCTGTTAAAAAGCTTGATGACTCGCGATTTAGATCTCACGAGGTAAGTACTTCAGAGTTCGGGACTGTATGTAACAAGGCATTTTAACTCGTAGGATATTTGTTTGGATTTTTCTTCTTCTTTTTTGTCTGTATTTTTGTTTTATTTGTTTTATTTGGTTGTATTTCAGGGCGAGGTAGCTTATATAAGAGTAAAAGAAGATCATAGTGGAAGTGGTGATAGAAGTCGTAGCGAAGATAGAGATAGAGGACATAGTCGTTCAAGAAGCTATAGTCCACGTCGCAGAGGCTCACCAAGATATTCCCCATTGCGTAGAAATTATTCGCGGTCCAGGTCACGTTCCAGGTCTCGTTCGTATGACTAGAGTGTACGTATAGTAAATACTATGCTCTATGATAAGAATGATAAAGCATATTTGTGCTACTACGATGTGTTTAATTTAAGATAAAATTTTACTATTTGAAAAACTTTAATATTGAGGCATAAGTTAGGTGAATTGTTTCAATTTTTTTCATGGAGCTTCTAAATCATTCAAATGTTAACCAAACTAATTCGCTAATTTATAGTAGTTAATTGTGGTACATTGACTTGTTTGTACCAATAATATCAGCACTACAGATTGTCGATGTATTTTTTCTTTTTTTTCTTTATTGATATTATTTTCTTTTATTTTATTTTTTTTTTATTTTTATTTGTTTTTTTTTGTTTTTTTTTTGTTTTTTTTTTTTTTATTTATTTAATGAGTCACTTGTGCGCTGAATAATAAAATAATACAAATTATTTTGTATTTTTATGTGTTGTAATGATGCATTCCTTTGCACTTAAAAATTAACTCTTTTTTACATAAATTAATCTATCCATTAAGATTATCGCTCTAAATTATTTTTAAACATATAATTAATTTATATGTAAATTTGAATTTATTGATTTACTCATAAATGTATATTTCTTAATCGTATATGAATGTATTGATTAGTAAATCAACATCACAACGAAAAAAAGTGACAAATAGGGAGATACCACAAGCTTATATGACTTATGTATTTTTATTTTCAAAGCTATGATGTAATAAGATTATTTGTTCCATCTGCTTTATCTCCCTTTGTGCATTGTTACAAAAAGAAAAAAAGAAAAACGATAGGCTTAGCATTAAGATCAGAAAATTATTGAACAAACTGAATAATGACTAGTGTCATATATCCAAAGGAAATTACATCACAAAAATGACGCCTTTCTACAGAATTATGTTCTTACTGTTAATGAGTTTTTAAACTTTTTGCTTAAAAATAAATATTTTTTTATGAAAAAACTTGAAATGAATGAATTACTAATGTACTTGAAATAATTCGAGGAATGTAGAAGTGTTATTTTGTTAAATATACAAAAAGTTAAATTATTTTATTTATAATTAAATTTATTATCAATATCATTCTGATTTCAGTTAAAAACTATGATTTATTAAGTTTTAAATTACTAATTTTAGCAATTTTCATATCCCTGTAAGCAATGAGAGGTATTTATTTGGTAGAGAAGAAAGCTCCTTTCAATTCTTAGACTTTAATTATTGAATAATAATCAGTGTTTATTGTAATAAAATTGAAACTAATGTGTTTTTTCTTCTTTTGTATATTGGATTGGATTATAACACAATGAATGAAAAACCTGAACCTACACATGATGGTCTTGCTTCTTGGATGGATTATGCGCACGCGACGCGTTACTTTGGACGGATTTCGCGCGGAGAGCATAAGAATTTTCGGGAAAGGATCGCGAAAATAGAATAAAAAGCGAGGGAAAAAGGATTTTGTCGCGAAGAGGATTTTAAAAGGATCGGATTCAGGATTTCGAAGTCGCTTTTCAATGGATGGCACTTTTTAAATTTAAAAGGAACTCTTTGCGATTAGAAATGATCATAGCACCATTCCCAAGTTTTGTAGCGAATCAGTTAATAATGGAGTTGCACACGTCTTCGTAATATCTGGAGATATCCGAACTTTTTATATTTTATTACGTTTTAGTTTTTCTTTCAATTTTACAAAGACTTGTGATATGGAGACTTTAAATTTTAATTATAATATTGAAGCAGTGAAAATTCATGTTCAAAGGACTCATTGAAGAGGAAATTAGATGTGTGCAATTTATCCTACAAAGTCTTGGGAATTTGTGTTTTATTATGGTTTGTGTAACTTGAGCATTTGAGGATAAACGTAAGACATTTACCGGGTCGTGGACTAATACAAGAGGATTTCATCATAGATCTTGTCAATGATGCAATGCCTTCTTTACGATCTTTAAATGGAAAGGATTTTCAAGTCTAATTCGGAATAGAGTACCAAACTTGGATTTCTATCGGAGCTTGTCATAGGATACTCCTCGCGGGAATGATTTGGATCTTGCATTTAAAAACAAAAAAAAAATACAAAAAATAATAATAATAATAATAATATTATGGATTCACTTGAAAAACAAGAGGAGATGAGGATTTCGATTCCTTGAGTTAAACATTTTGAATAAATTCAGAGGAAATTATTAATGGATTGTATAGGATTGGTTGCTTCATCAATCGATGGATACTTTTGAAGATTTACCGGAGGATCTATAATCCATTTGCGTCAAAGGTATTTGTATGTCGGTTTTGTTAATCGAGATACCTCATCTTCTACAGTTTTGCATGCAATTGCTTTAATGTTCTTCCTTGAACTTAAAAAACTATTTACTACTTTATCTCTTTCTTGACCTTCCTTCGCATTGTTAGTGGATATTCGTACTTATTAGCAATTTTTTAACGATCTCATGAAATATTCTTTATTTGACAAATTATCACATTACACATAAATGTTTGTTACGCGTCGTAAATTATTTTCAGGGCTTCAGTAAGTAGTTTGTAGTTCATTATTGCGGTTTCAGAGAGAACGTTTTACGTGGTGAAGGCATTATTGTGTTTATTAGTAACATTTTTTCCTGTTTTTTATACATTTGTTTACAAACGATTTAAACGATTTTAGTGTATTTAATTGATAATTTAACTTTTAGGTTTAAACTCTTTATTTCTAATGGATTTCAATGTTTATTTTAGATTTAGAACGAAACATTCATTTCATATCATCGTTTTGCTTAATAGTTTTACAAAAATTTTGCATGATTAAGTAAATTGAAATCCTCGGTTAATGACTCGACTAATACAATAAAAGCATTCTAAATATTATATAATATACACAAAATTCCTACCTTAATAAATCATATATTATTTTTTTAATTCGCTTTTTATAAAAAGAAACTTTATTCGCTCGTAGATAGCTTATTTACTCCCACAATGGCATAACAAATTAGCTCAACTTATCGCATGAAGTATAAGTAAAAACCTTATACATATAAAATAAAAATACTATCCTCACTTTTGTACGACCACACTAGTGGCTTGTAACTACCTCTAATGAAAAAGACTATATTTTATCTTTTACTTGCCAATGTACACAATTACATATTCACTAGCATATATACATAATCTCTACATGTGCATATGTTAATAAACTTTCGTATGCACGTATTGTACAAAATGTTTCAAGATACGTATTTTTACATCCATGTTCTCTAATAGCATTAAAAACAAACAATAATAATAATAATTATTATTAACAAATAAATCATAGATAAATGGTCGGTAAATAAATATTTATAAATTTATAAAATAATGCATGATTTCCTTACAATGCTGTGTCATCGTGGTAAAAAACAATTTGTTCCAATAAACAATAATTTAAAACATTTGGAAAAGGCCGATGCAATATCGCAATATTTTTTGGTGACGATAAAGCAGATTTGTTGTGCTGAATTCACATCTTAATACGATTTCGTCTATTGGTGAGAATAAAAATTCAAGATCGGATTACGAATTGGCGAAATGTTTAAATGTATTTTATGTATCTTTAATATATGTGTAAGTATTTTTTGACAATAAAAAAGTAATTCAAGAACAGTTATTGTGTGTTATTGTTAATATTGTTTAAGAAATTTCATTCACAATTTATTTAGCTTTTATTCACTTCTATCATTATGATGAAATTAATCTACAAAATCTAATGTTAATCCTTAAATGGCATACATTTTATTTTATATAATCAATTTGACGGTATTTTATTAATATAAATTATAAAGCTAATAAGCGCAAATAAATGATCATTAATAAGCTAATAACGTAGTAAAAAATATGTATTAATTGTTATAATTTTTAGCAATTATCAATGTATTTGCACGAGACTAAATTTGTTACTGTAAATTAATGGATCAGAATTGAAAAGTATAAGCATCAATTATTAGAGTAGGAAAAATTATTTTACGGAATAGTATATATCAAAGAATAAAATAGATTTTTGGTTTTATATCAACTTTAATGTGAAGATTAATTAATAATCAATAATTGTTTTCAATATTTTTCATATTTTTAAAATACTATAATCCTTAGAGCTCTGCCTTCTACAATTTTTTAAAGATTTTGTCGTCTAAAGCAATTATAAAAGCGCTCATCATTAAAAACACTAAAAACTGTTACTTTATAATGCATATTAATTGTATTTTATTATTATAGCATTTATAATAAAGAAAAGATTATACTGTAGATTATTGTATAAATTTTTATAGAAATTAAACAGGCATTTGTTTTTTAAATTGAAATTACGTTGATAAAAAATTGTGAATGCGTAGTTTGAAATTTTTTTATTCTACTCATTGATCGATGATCGGCTGAAGGAAACAATTAATAAATATTTTACCAATATTCATCAACTAGACGGAGAACGATATCTTGTCAAAGTTTATGAAATACTAAATGCAACTATGATTTTCAAAGATAATAAATACTCGAAGATGTGGAATTAGAATAAATGATCGTAAGGTCTGTCGCTACTATGCCTAAAATTCTTGTATTTAGCACAAATTTAATATTTCAAAATAAAACATAGAACTTCAAATTCTTACAGATTTTAAGTAATTATCGTACAATGCAATCTGAAGATAAAATAATGATTTAAATATCTATAACGAGAAAATACGATGTCGCAAAGTGTTTCTACTGTAATCTGTAACATCGACAAGAATGTTCGGAATTACGAGATTTTTCGGAACAAAGCGAAAATCCTCAAACAAATGTTAAATTTTCTCACCTCTCCCCGGATCTGCTGAGCATATGTCATTAATTGAGACAGAGACGATAGATCGATGCCGATTATTGGGTCCAACGCCGTTCCACCAAATCAACCGCCAGAGTCGATGGAGAAACGTCAAAAATGCAAGAAGCAAAAAAGGGGGAAATAAATCATCGGTGTATCAATATGTATTTAAGTGAACTAACTGAGAAGCTTTTAGGCGATGATGCCCCTCCCATGGGTATCGAGGTAGACGCGATAGTCCGATCAGGCCATTGGACTTTGACTCGCGCATGCACAAATACGCAGGTCCAGGAGAGGCTCTGCACCATACTCCGCCAAGGCTCCAGCTGCAACAAATGTGATGTAATAAGGTCCGATTGCTCGAGAGAGTTTTATTCCAGTGTCGCGTTGCTCCTTTCCACATTCAAGCGGCTACTCGGAAAGTTTTCTTACTTTGTTCGGCCGGATGTGGGCGAAGAAAGTTAGAGAAAGCCCTTACTTACGTACGATACGCGCGTTCTTGCAGTTTGTCATTGGACCTCCATTCAGTGATGTACATATCGTCGCGTCACGCCGATTAAATTTCACAATGATGGCTCGAATTTGCATTTTTAATTGTGTACGCTATCATATTTGAGCAACCATGAAATGAATTGTCACACAAAGTTACTCTACTCTGATATAATATTATGGCGAATTGAGGAAGAAGTCTTAAGTTGCCATAGACCTTTAATCGAGTAGATTTTTTACGCGAAAAGAATTGTGCTTATTTCAATTTAAACTGCTGTAAGGTTGTATCGATGATTCTTTTGCGTGGCAATTCTTGATTTTAATAAATTTTTTTTTTGTTATTTTTTTTTTTTTTTTTTTGTTTTTCATAATATAAGTAACATTTGCCTACGAATTGTATTTTTATTATACATTTGTCATGTACGTTATAATTAAGGTCAATTTTGATAATACTCCTAATTTATTATTTATTTAAACGAGCTATTGACTGATTGACATTATTAATTGTAAAAAATAAAAAAACAATTATCAAATTTCATGAAAATGAGTTAAAATTTATTCGTAATCCGTACAAAAATAATCAGGCATACATACATTTATACACATGATGTATATAATGTATAGAAAATTTAAATTATATAAATTTTTTGTCCTCAATATATCCGTTATATTATTAAATTTCCCATTTAAAATCAATATTTATTGACAATATAAAATATTGTTGAATAATTTGTTTGTAAATTTTCTCTAATATACAAATGCTACATGTAACAAAGATAAAGATAGATAGCCATTCTAAGATTATAAAGAATTAATTTTTCGCTAATATTATTTAAGATGATACAAGTTTAGATATTAAAAATGAATGTTACTATTATAATACGATAGTGATCAGTTGGTAAAAAAACAAATATATATATATAAATATATTATTCTTTTAATTGAAATTTTTTTTTTTTTAAAGAATTTGTTCTTTAAAATTATTCACACCAATGAAACAAAAAAAACTATTATTTTGTCATCACATTCGCAGAATAAGCTTTTCTATCGATGCATTATCAAGTCCTAAAGAAGTAAATGTTTTGGCTCTCGGAAATCAAACGACAAACTAATTTACAAGAAAGACAAAAGAATGAATACCGTCGGGAAGGAGCTTGACGATAATAGCAGTCCCGATGAGGAGGATCATTTTCCCAGTTTAGGAATTCAGTATCCCATTATGTGGTCGCACGGCTTCGCTCTCCCTTGACGTTGAATATGACCACAACATTGACTTATCACGTGCTCGTATGCCACGCCACGAGTCGTGGACTCATCGTTGGAATGGTTATTTGTTTTAATAGATTTGTTAATGGAAATTATGTATTTACCCATGTCGTATTGTTGCATTTCTATTGGGATGTTTGGTTGGATGACATTGAAGAATTATTTTTAAAATGTTTAGCATGTCATTGGGACAGTGAATAAAGACTGCAATTTTTTTTTGTAGAAAGCAGAAGCCGCTATGCTATGTGCCTGTTTCTTTCCGAATTATTGTATTTCGTTAAAAATTGTTTAAGCTGCGTGAATTATGTTTTCGATAATTTTATGTGTCAGAGGTAGAATAGCTAAAACAATCTCCACTCGCTTCATTCATTAGCTTATTAATTATATATATATATATATATATATATATATATATATACACACACAGTTTATTATAAAAGAAAGATAATTAACAATTGTTTTATAGAAGGAACGCAATAGTATTAGTCGCCGAATTATCAATGAAAAATAATGGTAGAAAAAAAGTATTCATGCATTGAGAAAAGGCTATTAAAATTATTATAATAATTATCTGTAGGAATGAAAATGATAATGGATGCTGATTAAGCGAGTATTTTTACCTTATGAGTCAGTCATAGTTTTATATACATCAATTATAATTTTGAGAGGTACAGCAATTGTTTAAAAATTTATTCGATATCGAGATAAGTATTAAAGTGTAAAAAATTATTATTTATATATACATTTATAAGAAATGCTCATAGTTTTCTTTCTATACAGTTATCCAAGTTCGCCAAATTATCCGCCTCTTAATAAATAGCTCAAGTTAGTCCCATATAATTGTAAAATTTTACAACGAAAATTATGCCTTACAATTATAACACTAGACAATTATAATAATTTACAGTATGAAGTTGGCGATCGGGGGAGTGGCGGGGTGTAATATAATTAAATTAAAAAAAATTTTTTATGCACAAAACAGGCCTTTTGTAAGTTTTCTTCTTGTCTGATAACTGCTTATTCAATTAAGCTAAGACAATTGTATAATAACGCAATATGCTTCTCCAATTGGGATAAACAGACACACTAGTCCATTTGTCAGGAATAATAAATAAAAATAAATAAAGATAAATCATAAGGAAACTGAATAGATTAAGTAAAGATTGGCCAATTGTAGCTTTTGATGTGGACAAGAGCCGCGCGATTAGTCGCGATGAGCGAATTGAGAATGTCCGTAAGGATATTTATATGAATTGTGTACGAGGTTGTTTGTTGGTAACAGTATATGTGAACGGTCCGAGATACATTTTTTGTACATCACGCCAATTATTATAATATAGGCAATCGAATAACGCAGCACTTTATAGGGCATTAAATTATTAAGGATATTGAAATAGGCGAAAATAGATAAAAGTCGTCAGACTCTACGAAATGGTAAATAGATGATAGAAAATAAACTAACCTCAATTAAAGGAAGATAATACTTATAATTCTATTCAAATTTTTCGCACTGATTTGTAGATTAATATAGATTATTTTGGTATAATTTTCGTTCTGTTAATTTTATAAATTTTTTTCTGTTCAAACGAGTTTCTTGAGTTTTTTAATGCATTTAATTTCTAATGCGTTCATTATTGTCGTGTCATGGTATTCGCGAAGTACCGGTTTCATTCGGATAGCTTTTAAATAATAAAGTGCATAGAAATACACGCATGCGAAATAGCGTTATTAGTTTTGGATAAATAATAAATAATTTTCCTTTCATCTAGTTTCGAAATCAATATGACAGCGATGTTACTGTTTGGAGCCCTCAAGGGCGTTTGCATCAGGTGGAGTATGCGATGGAAGCTGTCAAAATGGGATCAGCCACAGTAGGTCTTAAAAATAAAACACACGCAGTAATTGTAGCTCTTAAAAGAGCGGCATCCGAATTGTCCTCCCACCAGAAAAAAATATTTCCCATTGACATACATGTTGGATTTGCCATGTCTGGTCTGACCGCAGATGCTAGAATGCTGAGGTTTGTGTTCAATAAATTCAGATATATCGAAAGAATTTAATTTAGATTGGCAAACAGATTTTAAGAATGCAATAGATAGCATGCTAAATCAACCGTATCCGATCATTACTGTGTTTTTTCTTTTAACGTCGCCGACATTTTGATTAAATTGAAATTCTTTGTCAAATGCTCTTCTTAAAAGTATTTGTAGAGTTATTTGAATCGTTTAAAAGGAATATGCGATTGAAGTATAGTTATATCTTATTCTTAATTCCAGTCGATATATGAGAACAGAATGTTTGAATTATAAATATTCTCATGACAATACTTTGCCAGTGAGTCGTCTCATCACAACCGTAGGAAATAAAATGCAATCTTGCACTCAACGTTACGACAGAAGACCTTATGGTGTTGGATTATTAGTTGCTGGCTATGATGTAAATGCTTTAAAACACATGTATCCTCAATAATGTTTAACGAAGATAAATTCTAATTTTAATTAAACTTATTATAGGATCAAGGACCTCATATATATCAAACTTGTCCATCTGCTAATTACTACGATTGTAAAGCAATGGCGATCGGTGCTAGATCGCAAAGTGCAAGAACTTACTTAGAGAAGCATCTTACTGAGTTTTCAAGCTGCGATCTCGATGATCTCATTAAACATGGTTTAAGAGCATTACGCGATACACTGCCAAACGAAGCAGACTTATCTACAAAGGTTTGTCGAGGGACAATTTACGTTTTAAATTTGAATTTTATCCTTCGAGTCAACCAATTAAATCTAATCGCAAGATTTGCATCGTTGACCATTAATCCATAATATCCTTATTTAATTCAATTCTTCACCGTTCTACTAGACTTTGGCAAAATGACATTCCTAGAAACACTTGAGCATCAATTTCAATTGTTATCGATAATTTTCAGAATGTCTCGATTGGCGTTGTTGGAAAGGGCACGGAATTTGAAATTTTGAAGGAATCTGCGATGCAGGTGTACCTCTCTGAAATTGAAGGCGATGATAAACGAGGCCGACCCGCTGAAGGTGAAGCAGAGTCCGATGACAGGCCACCGCAAGATCCTCCATCCGATCCAGGTCTTAGGGATCCTGCGGTTGCCGTGGCTACAGAAGAAAGACCATCTGCCATGGACACTGAATAATCAAAGTAATTTACCCTTTATTTTTGCAATTTCGGTTTTTCAACACTATTATAAAATAAAATAAAATTTAATACAATGAATTTGTTTTTTACTATAACAATTACACTTTATTTGTCTAATTATTTGTCAAAAAATCAACAAGAGTACAATTTTAGGGTTTTTGGTTGAGCATTAATATTCTAAGAGCGCAATTTTTCATATCACCAAAGTCCTTTTATATATATATATATATATATATATAAATATTTCAATACACGATGGCGTGAAGTAGGAGAATGTGCGAGACGTTCGATTGTCGCCGCCACTCCAGTTCCTGCCCCTCTCGCTGCCAACGAACAGCAGAAGAGGACGAGAGCATCGAATTCGTCCTGAAAAGGACGGATTGGCAAGTTTTATGTACAGTTCGATTACCCCGAAAAGGGCGGATGATCATGCGAGGGAGGGCTGACAGTTGCCGAATGCCAAGCGAGCGCACTTTCTTATCTCGGATGGACCTCTTTCGATAACAATTACATTCCATTGGGGAGTATGTTGTTTGGTTTTCCTCAATGTTAATAAGCAATTACTTTCTGTCAATTTTACAAACAAACTTCTAAGTGCTTTTATGCATCATTTCGAATTGCTTCGTTCCATGTCGTTCTCTTTCGCTTCTCCTTCAAAATATTCGTCAAAAAGTACTCGCCGGCTTTGTAAGAAGATCGTACGAGTGGTCCACTCGCCGTGTACAAAAATCCAAATTTTTTACCAACGTTTTCCCAATACTTGAATTTTTCAGGCCTAATATATTCCATAACTCTTAAATGTCGTTTCGTAGGTTGCATGTATTGTCCTAACGTTAAAGCATCGACATTGACGTCGCGTAGATCTTTCATGGTTTGCATGACTTCCTCATCGGTTTCACCGAGGCCTAGCATTATAGATGATTTTGTTATCAAATTGGAATTGACATTCTTAGCTTCCTTCAACATTGACAGCGACTGCCTGAATAATAAGCGTAAATAATAGACGTAATTAAAATGACTTTGTTGCTCTGTTATTATAACTTTTAAGGCCTTATAAATATAGAGTTTACGATTTTTTTCACGAGACATTGTACTATTTTTGAGAATTGGGAAATATGTATTATAACTTTGACGTTTTTTTCTTGGATAATATTAATACAATTAATTCCCCTCTCAAGAATACAAACATTTTCCGAAATTCGAATGTCTATTTGAAAGAAAAAAAAGCCGTTTAGAATTTGATACAACCATTTGGTTGTAATTGTGTTTTTACGTACACACGTATATAATCTAAATTTATCTTTTATAAAAAGAACGTACTTGTATCGTGCACGCCTATCGCGAACAAAGGGTGTCAATCTTTCAACAGTTTCTATGTTGTGAGCATAAACATCAAGACCAGCATCGACAATGGTTTTTACGCAGTCTACATTCCCTTGAAAATCTGGCACTAGACACTCGACTAAGATATCGCTTCTGCAAAAAATTCTTATATAATTGAAGTAAGTTTTTAACTTTTAAATTTGTATACCTTTGTTTAAGCTCTTTTACAGTAGCAGCGATATGACTCGCACCCCCATCTGGTAAATCTGAATGAATTCATCATAAGATAAAATATATATCATATATCATATTTAAAAGATTTTAATTATATTATTTGTACCATCACGATCAACCGAGGTTAATACTACGTAGTCTAATTTCCAATCTATAATGGCTGTTGCTGTATTCCTTGGTTCCTTGGGATCCAATGGTGGAGGGATCCGTGCAGTTTTAACAGAGCAGAATCTGCATCCTCTCGTGCATGTATCTCCCATTAGCTATATTTTATGTTTATTATGAAAAAGTAGAATGAAAACGTTTTTTCAATGTAATTGGCTAAAATTTGTCAAAGTCAGACGAATAAGAGTGAAAAAATTGACAGAATATTTCGAAAAATACCATAATCGTAGCAGTGGCAGTTCCATGACTTCCACCACCCCAGCATTCGCCAATATTTGGACATCGAGCTTCTTCGCAAACTGTACTTAAACCAAGGTCACGAAGTTGAGATTTAATACGACTGTAATTTTTACCCATTGGTATTTCTTTTTTGAGCCATGGTGGCAGTCGTAATCGTTTTTCTCCTTCCGCAAGTTTCAGAACTCCATCATAAATATTAACATCGTCGGCAACAAAATCTTCAAAATGCGGCCCATTTTTCAATTTGTCGGTAAAATTTTTTTTAGTACAATATAGACTCTGTAAAATTACATTGCAATTAATAATTTTTTATTGATTAATTTTATGCTCGGTTCTTTGGGCCTATATTTATTTAGTCACTTACCGTTGCATGGAATTGAAATTCCAAAAAACGCTTTATTCCAGTGATTAAAGATGAGTGTAACATTTTAATAACCTTAACAATCGACATTTAAAAAAAAGCTACATTTCTATACATGCGTACAAGTATATATTAAAATATTAAAATGAGATTAATATAAAAGTATTGCCTATATGCATTTTCAAGGTTAACAAAAGTCATTGTGAAAGATTGCATAAACTTATCCAATAATAGAAAATAATTTTAATTAGAGAGCAATAATTAAACATATATCTTACAGTTAAATTATTTTAAATCAACTGTTTATATTTTTAATTGTTCACGACTATTTCCCGTCACATTTCATCATTTAATCTAAATATTCAATTTACAAATGTTTATTAAATAGAAATAATTTTCAAAAAAAAACAAAAAAAAAAAACAAAAAACATCATATAAATTAATAATAGGATGTTGCATTTTCAATGTAAAATTATGACAATCTCATTTCTATTTATTGATAAATACGTACTTTAATGTTTAAATTTAATAGATCCGCGCTCGATCACTCATTACGACTGCAGAAAATTAAATGGTCGAATGACAAATTTTCATAACCTATAAAGCTCCTTCTGTTTATTTCGTCAAAATAATTTGACGTAAGATGGCAGGTCAACTCCTAGGGTAGCATTAATCGAACATTTAAAACTCCGATAAGACATTATTAAATATGTTAGACTTATTTCTTCGATAATCCTTCTAATCATTTTTATTTCTTTATTTATTTATTTATTTTTATCCTTACAAAAACGCCTTAAAGTTCTTTTTCACGCATTGCACGGCGATCGCAATATGTTCGCGTTTAAAATTAATGGGTAATTGAAATTATAAATTATCAGCAACATACATTGTCTATATTAAATTTAATAATTATGTTTACAAATAAAATAATTCCTTATAAATGTATATGCATTAGGTAGTATTTTTATTCAACGAGTCGTCGTACACATTGAGGCAAGAGAAATTGTTACATGATGCATTTCTGTTGGATCCAGCAGCAACGGCCGATCGAATGAGAGATTTTAGATCATTGGATAGGTAATCCGATATCAATATATTATTACGCACCCTGAAACAATGTCATACATAAGCGATAGGTAATCGTTTAAATAATACCACCAAGCAAAATATAGTCATTTTTGTAAATTATTTTATTAATTCAACACACGTTAATGTGGAAATCACCGTATTCGTATACGGATATATGGATTGATAATTAAAAAAAATTACTATAATTTTATAGATAAATAATAAATAGTATGATATCCAAGTTGGAGTGATTTAATACGGAGATATTGTCCAAACATTAAGCGTATTCGAATGAAATTTAATTGCGAATGTAATACCAATGTTTATGTAGCTATTGCGGTCATATATTAATTATTAATTAATTAATTAATTAATTTTTTTTTTTTTTTTTTTTTTTTTTTCATATAACAATGAAATTATCCAATAAGAGACAATTGACATATAACTGAAAGATACTCTCTCTCTCTCTCTCTCTCTCTCTCTCTCTCTCTTGTTCAAAATTATCAATAATTTCAATTTTATATCTGTATTTTGAAATGCATCTTTAAATCTAGTAAAAGACCGATGAAGCTAAACTAGCAGTGCAAATACTTGGCAATTAATTCAAATCAAAGATTCGCAAATCGCTATAGGTGTGCACACCATACGTATTGGATGCGAATGCGAATCATTAAATACGTACAGACTATCGAACCAATGCTCCAGACCGTGCAAAGTTGACTCGTCGGGGTCGCCCTGCTCGATTGCCGTCTTATTATCCCGAGCCAGTGACAACTCAATCTTGGTCCTCTCCAGTTCCTCGAGGTAGTCTCGGTGCACGTGACAGGCGAGTCTCGCAACGCATTTTGGACTGATGACGAGTTCCTGTCGCATCGGCACCTTATCATCCATCTCGCTTGTCCTTACGTTCTCGGCCTTTCTGTCACTTTGCACCTGCCTCATCCATCACACCAATCGATATAATTTGTCATCGCATAGTTTTTTTATCGTTATATAGTAGGGTTTTTAAAAGTCTCGTCCGCTATCGGGACAAGAATGTATGCACAGTGCCAGTTATACAGTTTTCATTTTATACATTGCACTATTACTTTAAAAATTACTCTATGATCGATCGTACTTGTATCCATTATTTAATGTTCGCGCTTCTTACTCTTGACACATTTCCTGCATTCGCGATACCTATAATTATTATCAAGAACAGAAGTTTATAATAATACTGACATGGATGTGCCACGATATTATTACATCAACGACAAGATTTGTAAACTATAATCATAAAGTATAAAATTGTTTAAAACAATCGAATTTTTTTTATCGAATTTTCGCTGATTTATCTATAAAAATAATTGTAATATGAGGTATGATGTAGTGGTGTTTAATTATCGGTGAATCGAAGATTGTACTTGTAATGATCTAGCCGAGATCCAAAGCACTTGAAAATTCCAAATAAATTGATTTACCAAAAAAAAAAAAAAAAAAAAAAAAAAAAAAAAGATTCCCCCGATAATGCCGTATCTTTCCAATTATTTAAATTCCAACTGAAAATTTGCAACTTTGGTGCTGCAGTGGCAGAGGCGAAAGGGGGGAGAGAAGGTAACGGGCTACGAAATCGCAATCGTCGGCTGGAAATGTAGTTTGTTATGTACCTTATTTGGCCTCGGCTGAATGTAACCCTGCAGCAAGGCGCCGAGGGTATAATTGTCCAACTCAGCTCCAGCGGAGCGCTTTCTTCTGCCAGACATAACGCTGATTGGCAAAAATACGGGATTTGTGGCGAGGGCTGCGGCGGCGCCAATCAGTGCTACTCCTGCCAGGGCCTTCAGTGCCACCGCCTGTCAACATCGGTGCCCACAATACGTTACACATGCCAAGGGCGCATCATTGGATTTCGCGCGATGCTAGCGTAATTTCACCTCATCCACGAGTCTCTCGACTAACAAGGACATTTCTCGTACGACTGACCCGATTGGAGTGATTTTTCATTAGTTTTTTTATTTTCAGCCACGCGCGCATCTATCTTTAATAATAACTTTATGGGAATCTAGGAGGCTGGATTTATTTAGTGCTTGATCGGCATGATTTTCATCACCGCACCTACCTAGGTATCTCTAAGGTTCGACGCGACAAAACAATTTCAGCTTACGTTGTATTTTTCGTCTGTCGCGAGCTTGTAAAAAACGCTTTTTTAATTAACGCAATTAATAATTAATGGCAAGCGCTCGTGCCAAGTAATTATCATAAAGCTTCATATTGTATGGCGCCAATGACAATATCACGACAAACGGATAATCAAAACTTCAATAACGCGTAACGTATAGGAGGAGTCACTTCACTTCGCGCTCTCTCAATTTATCGTTGGGCATGCCATTTACAATAGTGGGATCCCGACCTTCTGCGTTTGAAGATTGGAGCTACCAGGAACGGGTGAACCACCCTCGGAATACGTATAGTCGCCGTCCCCCTCGGCGCCGACGCTAGTGGTCACACCGAAATTACCGCCAGCCGGTCGGGGTCGGTCGTACGTGCCACCGAGTCCGTGACCAAAAGCGTAGTTGACACTCTGGAAGCTGCCAGGACGATTACTGCTGCTCGTACTATACCGATCGTTATCAGTTGCGTAGGCGGAGCCTGGACGTTGTACTGCACCGTATCTAAAGCGAGTGGCGAGTGAAGAGAGGAAGGTTGATGGGATCGAGTCCTTTTGCGAGATTATTCGAGTGTGGTTTTTAGGAAAGTGAGAATATCTTTATCATTGTCCTCCCTATCTACTACTGTAATAATGATTACACACTCGTTCCCTAGCGGTGCTATATACGCAATATTAGCGAAGCAATGATATATATATATATATATATATTTTTTTTTTTAACAAGTGTCTACGTTAATGAGAATATCGATGAAATTGATGTTACGACTAATAATGCATTTGTGCATTTTTTATTGTATTCTAATTGGCTTGTACTGGTAAACGTGAGACACGTTTTGCAATGAGAATTTTTAACCAAGGATAATGGGCTAATAGGCTAATTAATTTTTTGTTTTGCATGCTTTTAATTTTTACGTATAATCAGACAACTCTTGTACTTATAATCAATATATAATTAATGAATTTATCAAGGTAAGGATAATAAAGGAAGGGCGTACCGATCACCATCCAATGCGTAGCTCGAGGTCGGCTTCTGTGCTCCATTATATCTAATTTAATAAAAACACATGAGCTATCCAATGTAATAATACAGAAGAAAACAATAGAATATGACATTGGAAAATTGGCTTTCACTCGCTGAAATTATAATTGACATAATCATGGGATGAGAAAATGAATTTCAACACTATAAGCATATAGGTTAGCCGATTAAAAATTAAAAATTTCTCGAATTATTCATCATTTTAAATGGGATTTTCTATTTCGGTGAAAATTTTTTTAACTAATAGGTTGGATTAAGAAACTGGTCTTAAGCGATAAGTTTAATAGCTTTTGCCGTCAAACGTCATTCAATCCGCGTCTTCTCATTAATACAAAGATTTGTTCTCCATTTTACTTATGAGCCAATGGAATTCGCATTGAGCAAAAATATCATGCGTAAAAGCATTTGAAGGAGCGTAATTCGAGGCAATGAGATTAAATCACCTGTCATAAGAATGATGATTTCGCTGATCGTAAAAGCCCCTATCCTTGTTGGATCCGAGATAGTTGAAGCTTCTCCAGCCTTGGCCGTACCTACGGGACAGAGTCGAAGCGAATTCTTTTTATACAGATGAAAGTGCGGAACCGCCTACACATTGTACGCGTATATGAGATTTGGCGATATTGATAGAGCGGACGTTGATGGATACGATGTACCTGTCGTCGTTGGGGTTGTTGCCGTGGAAACGTGGGGCTGGTCCGGTGCCGACGCCTCGCTCGAGGTCCTCCGAGGCCTCTTTCTGCGGTGACTTATCCTTTTCCTCCGAGAAACCATTAGCACCCGACAATTTACTGCCACAGCAGTTCGGATCTACAAAGAAGGGATGCCAGAAATTGAATTACGCTAAATTGATTTTGACGGATATCTGCTTTTAAATTCTCTATTTGTTACGTCTATTTTGATGCACATTGGCTCGATCGCTTTGGTCTTTATTCGATTTCGAGTTGTACCGACGATATTAACTATTGCTTTGTTGAAGACGTAATTCTTAATTCTTTAAACAATAATGTCCAATAATGTCCAATAATGGCGAATAATGTCCAATAATGGCGAATAATGGCGAAACGTACGAATATTCCGATTTTTTGTTATTAAATGTCTGAATTGAATGAATAAGATGTCGTTTAAAGCGAGTACGCCTATCGAACAAATTATAATAAATCTAGGAATAAACGGTACAGATAATAATTTTTGTTGGTGCAAGCAATTTCTCAATCCTAATTTCGTTAATTAATAAAAAGTTTTCATTTTTGTCACTTGATTTTTAAAATAACCAATGATCCAATATATAAATACCACTATATAAATATCCTGCTACTTGCCTAAAAAGTTTAATCGATTAATGCGGCAACTTTGCTCCGCGCTTTTAACACTAAATTAACTAGACTATTTGCATATATCGTATGGCATTGTCACAAAATGCACCGATTAATTTAGCCGTTAATTATATATTATTCATTAGGCTAAGCGCACATCTCTAACATTACTATTAAAAGTTGTAAATGCAGGATTTTTTTCGAGACATTAAGACGTTACGTTGATTGATATTCGATTGATAGTCGACAATTTGCTCGCGTGCAAACGTGTTTGTGTGTTTGTGCGCGTGCGCGCGCGCGTGTGTTTGTGTGTCGAGTTAATCGCAGCTGCTAACTAGTGTAAGTGACTCTAGGGCTGTGCATCGTTATTGCTTCCTTTATGGGTGGGTGAAAAACCTAGAGGAGACGTCTAGGACAAAGGATAAACTATAAAATAGACATGGCGACTTCGCCAACAGGTTCACTCGTGTATTCGGTCTCCGTTGATTATACTTTCATACAGCAATACATAATACATTGCTGTATGAAAGCATGATAACACTGAGTTTGTAGTAAATGTATATGTACACATAATTTGCGTATACAATATGTATCTTCCATTTAAGAATATTTTATTTGTAACTTTTATTTCATAGTATTATTACATTATTATAATAATATTTCTATTTTTTTTGGGGATTTTTTTCCCCTTTTTTTCATTTTTTTTTTCCTTTTTTTCATTTTTTTTTCTTTTTTAATTCAAATTAGCATAGCAAGAATCACAGAAAAAATAGAAATATTATCAAAACATTTAAAGCTGTGTGATAATATAATTGTATTTCGAATTTATCGCTTCATTCCAAAATGACATGACTCTCACAAATTTTCACAACAATCGGCATAAGCAATCGTATTAATGTATTAAGAATGAATTTAGTCATCATTTAGTTACACAAATATTTTCAAGAGAAAGAAAAAAGCGGGGAAACAAAAGGGACAAAGCTCACCCTTATTTTATTTCTCCCCGAAAATATTGGATGATCGGGGTAATTAAGAAAAAAGCAGCCTCACCTTGTACCGAGGCCACGGTCCTCGTCTTTTTCGACGTAATCTTATCCGTGACATTGTCATCGAGACCATCGGCGTCTCTCGTAGGGTACGCATTCAGTCGCTGAAGATCACCTCCAGGCTGCTTATTATTATTCCAGAACGGGAAATCGGTGTCTCTCGGTGGGGTCAACCGGTCCTCGATTATCCGCCTCGGCATCTTCTCGTTAACCGAGTACCGGTACTCCGCATCCGGATTCTCACTTGAGGCGGAAATCGTGATTTTGTCGGTCGTCGTTTCTTCGGTAAACGAACTCTTGACTACATTACTCAGCAGCAACGCCAGTGCTAAGACACGAGCACCCGGCATATTATTTATCGGCATTATTACGATTGTGTTTTGAGATGAGTTGTTGTGGAGTGTCGAGGTGATGAGGCTGGTTCTCGAAATCTTCGCGATCTACCGAGAGAGATCGAATGCTCACTTGGCGCTGGTCGGTGCAGTTGATATTTACGTTACGAGTGACAATGGCTAAAATGTGTGGCGTGGGGCATTGACTTGACGCTTTTATACGCCTCTCGTCTCCGCGATGCCTCGGCGCGTTTTTCGTTACGCATCCGCACACGGGTGTTTACTTTTTCTCTCTCTCTCTCTCTCTCTCTCTCTCTATCTCTCTCTCTCTCTCTTCTATTTTTTCTTTCTTTCATTCTTTATTTCTTTCTTTATTATTTTTTTTATTTTTTATTTTTTATTTTATTTTATTTTATTTTATTTTTTTTTTTTCAACTAAATTGATATAGGATGTTTCGACAGATATATCTCTTTATGTTATGGATTTGCGCTATGCCTGTGCGCTGGCCCAAAGAGTTACATATTACTTTATGGGCCTAATGGGCGTCTTGTTGTTGGATCCCGCGCGATTCCTTGAACTTACGTAAGCTTTTGTTTCCTGATAAGCTTCGGATCTTACAAATCGTCGTAGTAATTTGCTTGTTTTTTTTTTTTTTTTTTTTATTTTGTTTTTTTTTTCTTTTTGCTTTAATACGTAGACTACAGACGCTCATCTATTTATTGCTAGTTTTAGTAATAAATATTGTTGTATATTGCTGATCCTTTCACTCTTGGCATTATTGGATTAAGTGGATAAAATTATGTAATGATAACGATTTTGTGATCGGTATACGAAGATATAATACATATAAGAAAAATTTATTTAACAACGTTTTTAACATTTTCATTTTATTTCTCAATTTATAATTTAAATTATTTCAAAATCCATAATAGTTAAAAGATTTTCGTGATTCGCTAATGTTTATTTGCTTGAATGAAATTAAATAATACGCGGAGAGTGAAAAAATTTCTCATATTCGTTATAAGGCTAGCATAATAAGTATTTGAAAAAGACAATTTCATCGTGATAAAAGCAATTTTTTTGTCGATTATCAAGGCGCGGAAATGCATTTCCTTGTACGATTCTTAATTTCACTTAACTTTCCCGTACGTTATACAAGCTAGAAATTTTCGCGACAATGATAATAAGCAAAGCCATTGGAACAGTGCACTAAATGGAAAAATAATGCTGAAAGTATTTGAACAACTGCTAAATGATTAAAATCTGTATATTATATGAATTAATTGGTAAATACATGTATTATTTCATAAATTTTCATGTTGTATATTTTGTCAAATGAAGTATTGAATATTAGTAGATAACTCACGTATATCAAAATAAATATAAACTGTTAGCTATTCTAATCAAATAAAATCAACGTAATAATTTACAACTAAACGAGAATTCTAGCAGGCCTATAAAATCCAATGATTATTAAATGAATTAAAATGGCAAATTTCATTCTATTCTGTTAATGATTTAGTGATTAGTTTATTGTAATATAATGTTAATAAAGTGCAATATATCGGGTGAATTTGGCAAGATATTTCATATTAAATTAGCTGGTAGAAATATGTCAAAACGACAAAAAATAATATGAAATTTTAAAGGAGAAAGCCGAGTAAATAACTGCCCGACCGAGTATTTAGATAAAATAACGTTATCCGTCTAGGCTTTTGTACACTCTTATTGAAAGAATGATAAATGTTTGGTAAAGAAACAAGTGCAAGTAAAGGTGCCAAGTGGAATGGCGTCTTGTAAATTTGTACGAAGAAAAAAGTCGAGAGTGAGTCGAAATTTGCAGGCTTACTGATACGCCGACGGGGATATCCAGCCAAGCTATGCATCACGTTTACGTGACTCCTGGTGCTTACACAAAATCGTCACTGCTAGAACAATTTGTTCCGCTCGGATCAAATGTGATACTCGTTCGCTTGGCTGAATTCTCCTTCTCTTCCTTCCTAACATCTTCATCGTCGTCGTCGTTGTCGTCGTCGCCGTGGTCGTCGCCGTGGTCGTCGCCGTGGTCGTCGACGATGTCGTCGTGGTCGTGGTCGTCGTCGTCGTCGTCGTCGTCGTCGTCGTCGTCGTCGTCGTCATTTTTCGTAATTATGCGCCAGCTGTTGCAATGTCTCTTTCACCTCGCGTGTTTCCTCACATTGTGGCAACATGCGCAACGAGCGGCCTGAGGTTAAAGGAGCTCGAAGGACGAACTTCGTATATTATAACGGGCCACGCGAGGAGCTGGAGAACTGTTAACGAATTGCTGCGAAAGTGAGCGGTTTCAAGACGAGCCAGAGATAAGAAGAGTAATGAAAAGATTAATGAATCGGTTGGAAAACCGACATTACGAGACTACGTATAAGCGTTCGTCTTTTTTTTTTTTACCGATGCGTGACTTAAACCTATACTTTTGCCATTGTTATTATACGTACCATTGTTATTATTGACATCATCGACACCATGATTTATAGAGTAAGGGATTTAATTTTGCGCTCGTAAAATACCGAGGTGAAACGATTATTTGTCGTTATTAATCACAAGTACTTGCGAGAAACAAATATTTTCTATTGCTTGTGAGGGCGAAGATTAATGTGGATGATTTCATTAAGAAAGAGAAGCGTTAATGTGAAAAAAAATAAAAATAATGTATGTCTATACGGCAATTTTTATATAAATTGTATTATTTTATGTTAAAAAACTTCTCCCGCTTATATGTGATAAAAAGAGAAAGAAAAAAATTGTAGAGGAGAACGTGTGCAGCTTAACGTTTTTTTTGTTTCATTTATTAGATTGTTGTACGTTAATGTCAATATATATATATATATATATATATATATATATATATATATATGAATTGCTTGGGTTTTCAAATTTGTTTGTGTTTCTTAACTAATGTCGTTGGAGAAAAAGCACCACTCAAAATCTCGTGTGATAAATGATAGAAAAGAAATTCGATGACATGAAAAGAAGATATTGCGGTAGACATGGCGAGATCGAATAACCAAATGGAGTAAAATAGAAAGCAGTTTCCATTGGGACGGTACGTTGCCTCAAATTCTACCCAAAAATTTTCGTTCATCGATCCAGTTCATCGATAATCGAATAATCATTTTCAGAAATACGACCTCTAAGGATATTCTAAAATTTATGATTACTCGAGGAATACTATTATTATGAAATTACATTGCTTTAGTAATGCTTTAGTATGCTGGAAATATATTTTGTTGAATAATCGGGCATAGAATAATTTCAGTTATAAACAATTGTTTATATTACATGAATCGGGATTCTTATGAACCACATTATAATTATTTCAAACCTATTAAGTTTCATAATTACGTAAGTAGATTCTGTTGTAGCATTTACTAGATCCGAATTTGACAATTTTACAAATATTCCTATCAACTTATCTTTAATGTAAACTATTCGATTTTATAACAGCATAGAGTAAAATAGTGAAAAACATTAATAATTAAGATTTCCTAATATATTTTACTGTACGAAATAAAAGTTTTTTTATTCTTCTTTAAAATTTAATGATAATTATATAATATTCCTTCTTATGTTTCTAGTAATCTGTTTTTCCATATTCATATTTTCCACATTCACACTGGTTATAGTACAAAGTTCACGAAATTTTATATATAATTTTTGAAATAACCGACTTGATTATATAATTTTATTGCCTATTAGATTAGAAAAATTTCTAAAAAATATTTTATATTTATATAATTTTTATTAACAATTACTATATGTAATAGAATAATTTAACGTATAATTAAGAATCTATAAATAATAACGTAAATAAAGAAGATAATATTTATTTATGGGAATGACATTTAATTATAATTATCAGCTTTATATGATCGGCATGTGTCCCCGTAGTTAAAGAATAAGATCTGTTCTTATCGTTTCTATAATTCTTTTTCGGTATTTCAGCTATTTCAGTAGTATACATTACATACCTTTTTTATTCATAAAATATAGTTAAATCTATTTTAGAATTTAGAAATTTAGAATCTCTATTTTATTAAGATACAAGTTAATTGCTTTATTAGATGTTCTAGTGCATTTAGTTGCACAAGAATCGATTACAGTTTGTACCTAATTCAATATTTATAATTACATCTGTAAGTAATCTCAATTCTTTTATTTAAAATGTCTTTTATTTAAAATTGATTTAGCAATGTAGAAAATTGGTTTATCAAATTGGGGTAAATTGGAATCCGCAAATTGAAAAAAGCTTCAAGTGCATATGAAAAGAAATCGAGAGGGAACACAAAAGCGCTACGAACGTTAGTCATGCAAACCGTTTAACGCCGAAGATTCTACAAACACATGCTGCCATTAAATTTCCGCTTTAGAAGACGTAAGATTAAATCATCGCTAATATTGGCTTTAGTATTTACTCTTTAGTTTATTGTCGAATTGATGAAAATTATCTGTAATATAAGTACGAATATGGGAAATGGTATCGTAAGTATGGCGATGATATAATTATCTTGCATTAATATAATGTAACATATAATTATCTAACTGTAATGAAATATTTTTATAATGTAAGCAATAAAAATTAATTATTTAGCACGCTATTTCGTATTATAAATCGAGAAATCTTAAGCTTAAGCAAACGGGTTGGTATACCTCTGCAGTCAAACTCTTCTCGATCCTTTACTCGCAATTGTTTTTTATCTAATTTTTTTATCTCTACTTTATTGTCATCGTATGCAGCAGAATTAAATAAATTCAAAAGGTACATTCTAAAGTTTTATAAATTTTTCCCATCTCTTTGTCCACATTTTCCAACTAGAAAACATTATTTCAAGAATATTAAAAAAAAATAAAAACAAAAAAAAAATTATTCCAATAATACATAATATGCATTTGTAAATGAAATTTCAATTATTATTATAAAAACTTTGAAATACTTACCTGTTATATCTAATTATGATTTAATTTATATAGAGGATTATCATAAAAAAATAATTAT